CATTTAAAGTATCTAATTTTATTCCTAATTATTAATAATTGCTCTGGATGCATGGGTGGTCATAACTGGGGCTGTGGGGAGGTTGAGTTAACCCTTTCCCCCCTGGTGCAGTCCTGACAAAGATCTCACCCCTGAAGCTGCTCTTCTCTTTGATAAAGCTCTATTGGCAGCAATGACGTCTTCTCTTCTGGGGCAAATAGGATCTTCAGAAGGGGTGGTTTTTGGTGGGACAACAGCAGATGGGGGGGGTGAAGAGGGAGGAATTAACCCTGTGTGGTGTGGTCTCAGATCTATTCCTCACCCCCAGCCTCAAAGCTGTTAATCTAAAAGGGAATCAAGAAACATTCAATGCAGCCATGGCATTTAATATATTGTCTCGTATGTCCTGTACTTGAGCCTTTCAACTTGTATTGTGCAGGAGGAATTAAATTATCTCCAAGGAACTGCCCACACCTAGGGTGATTCACATTTTGAGCACCACTGAAGTTATCCTTGAAATATAGCAGCTTTTCCCCTGGGAATCACTCTCTAATTTATATATTCTCACACCTGGGAAGATTTGTTTTCTTTTACCTTTTATTCATGTCAGTTAAATCCTTATTGCTTGTTCCCAGCTGCAAAATTGTGCTTTTGCTACCAGCAGTACAAGCACGTCTGGTGCGATTTCTTGCGAGCGAGTCTGTGAATTCAGCCTGCGATACCAGCAGATGGTGAATCCCTCCAGCAGTTTAGTTTCTAGGTCCAGCTGTCTTTTGATTCACTTTGCACTGCATTTCAATATATATATTAAATAATGCTCCGAGTTAAACAATGGAAGAACTGTAATATTTGCAATCATAGCCATTCAGTGCGCGCTACACCTGGATCAGGGAGACCCGGGTTCAAGTTGTCTCATCCATGGTGCTCAGAGCTGCACAATTGCGGGGAGGGCAGTTTCTGCTGGGTTGTACCATTCCAGCGGACAAGCGAAGGGAGGCATGTTTGAAATCTTCAGCACATTAAAAACTGTGATGCTACACATCTGCATGTACAAAACAAATCCCTGCAGGGACAAGGATGAATGGAAACTCTCTTTGCTGGTATGTTAGTTCTGTATGCTTAGGAAGGTTTTCGTTGCACGTTCAACCATATAATCCCCCCCCATAACAATCTGAAATTGCCAACTTTGTTCTGACAAGCTCAGGGATATCTCCCCAAGTGCTGGTGCTTCTCTTAACCATATCCTGTGAGCCAGTAACTCAAAGACTACAGAGCTCTCCAGAGCCTTAAAAACCAGCCTATTGAACATAGTATTTTTAGTGTTCAGGACTTCAGCAAAGAATAAACAAAATTTCAGAGGTGGGAGGCAGCATTAGAAAGCTCACCAAGATGGAGATATATTTTGGCCACAAGAGTGCAAATAAAACTACAAATGCTTTCTGCTCAGCTTTTGCCATGAATGCAGTCTGGCTGGTTTTTTTCGACCAGTTGCGTACCTGGTCTTCTGTGTACCTTTTTCAAAACCAAAGAAAAGAGGAAAACGGTGGGAACATTGGAAGGGGAGAGGTCAGTGCTATGGATTTCTGCAGATAACATAATATCTCAAATCGCACTGATAAAGGCATCAGTGATTCAAAACAGGGCGCCTCAGGAGGACGAGATGGGATGCCAGACCACTTGACTTGAATTCAGACTGTTTCAACTGGTTTTCTACAGATGTTGTTTATTTTCCAATAACTGTCCCGAAGTGAGTGGCTTCTGTAAGCCCCCACCCTTCTCTGTTTGCTTTCTTGTTGTCATGAGAACAGTACAGTATATTTTTTTAAAAGCAGAAAGGAGGAGGGCTTCCATTTCTCTAATTAACACACTCTTGGCAAATGACTGGTTAGATGCAAACTAAAAGAAAGAGGTGTGGGAGAGCTGAAAAGAGAAGGTACAGCTCCTGACGATATCTGAAAACCAAACACAGAAATAACAAGAAAGCTTCCTGAGAAGTCTTTCCAGCTTTTGAGGGGGGGGGAGAACTAAAACAAATATGAGTGTTGCCCTAAGCTACCTAAAATTTTATACCCATGAAATAACACCCATGCCTCAGAACAAAGGTATGCTCTGGCAGAAGAAAAGGTAATGTGGAAGCCTGCTATGTTTTCCTTCCAGTGGTGGGTTGGCGGAGGAGGTGAACAGCTTGTTGAAAATGACCGCATTTGGTGGTGTGTGTCTGATAATGATGGCCAGTGAAATCCTGGATGGCTGTCAGCTCAGTATTTCTGTTGTATATGCAGGGTCCAATCTGCCGTCCAGCTGGAATGGATTGCTCAGATCGCGTCAATCTCAGTGGGCAGCCTCAGAAGAGCGATGCTGCGAAGATTATAAAATCAGAGAGCTGGTGTGGTGTGTGTGTATGGTCTTGGATTTGAGCAGGAATAGGGCCAGCTTCAAACTCTATTCAGCCATAAATCTCACAAAATGATTTTGGTCTGGCCACTGTCCATCCGCCTAACCCCACTCTTAGAATTGTTGTGGCAATAAGTTGGGAAACACCTGGGTTCCTTGGAGAAAGGGCAAGACGGAGGTATAACAAGTAAAATGCACCTTAAGTTAGAAAACACTGGCATAGTTGCATTGTCCTTGCCACCCTTTCATCTCCTTAGCTATGTGGGTTTTTTGGGGGGTGGGGTGGGGAGTTGTCAATGACATCATGATGGTACATCTCATATGACCACACCTTGGACATTCATAAACAAAATCATGTGGATCAACGCAGCCTTTGGGATGCTACAGCAGGTTGAGCAAATGAAGCCAAAGGCAACGGGAGCAGAGAAAAGGGGAAAAGATGCAATAGCCAGATGAACTAGGGGACACCAAACAGCGTCGAAACAGCACATGTGTTTGGTGATGTGAGAATTTTTCTGTAACTTGCCTGTAACGCACATGCTACTTTTGAATTGACTATTGAAACTGGAGAATATTTGGCACAGCTCTGACATTAAATATGTGGAATACATGTGCATAGATTTGCACATTGCATCCTCTCCAGCTTTAGATGGAATATACATATTTAAAAGGGAGGTGCACAGCAGGGAAGTCTACTTCAAAACCTGAGGATCAGCTTTAATATTTCTCTTTACAATACAGTCTTCTTCTGCTTGCCACTCTGTATGTATTCATACACACTCTGAGCTGGCTGCTTCCCTATAGGTCCAGCTGTGCTTTCCGGATTGCAGTTATCCTTGAGTGAGCATTGCTTAGCTCTGTCTACCCGAGGCACAGGGAATCCTTTTCAATTCATGGACCACATTCCCTTCTGGACAACTTTCTGGGGGTCACATGCCAGTGGTGATGGGTGGGAGGCAGAAGCAGAACTGGGTGGCACAACGGATGTAAATTTTACCTTGTACAACAAACTAATTTATACATACACTCACATACATACACAGGATTCTAGCTAACTGCAGGCTAGAATGCAGTAGCTATATTTTGGTACAGCCAGCCAGCTGTTAAACTGCGTGATACGGGGAACGGTAGAAAGGAGCCAAACAAGATAGCCACTGGGGCCAGTTCAGCCCTCTCTAATATCTGTGATTCCAAGAGCTGTTTGACATTTGCCCTGTATGGGCAGCGGTACATGCTGCTTTAACACAATTTGCCTGGTGGACGAGTAAAGGCTCCCTGATGAGAGCATCACCATTAGAGAATCACAAAGTTGTCAACTAGAAAGCCAACCACTTCGAAAACCCCAGCAGCTCTCTGTGAACTGATGGCATTACTCTTGCCAGTGCAACCCTCTTTACCGAGGACAAACATGCCTGATCTGTCTGTGTGGTGTTTAAACTGAGGTGGTAACCATCAGTAAAAGGAGATACTATATAAGCACTGCCAGCCCTTCCATTTGCATATTCAGAGAAGGCCAGAAAGGCAGAGACGTGAAACCTTACCTATGCAAACAGAGCTCTTATTTCCACTATGATTCTCTTTGGCACATGGTACATTGTATTAGTATCTAATGATGCCGCTTCAGACAATCTGTGTCACATGGGGGTTCTATCAGCCTGTGACCCCCTGCCTTCCTTGCAAATGTGTAACCAGAATTACACAGATCTAGGTACTTCTTGTGCAATTCTGGATTGTTTACCAATTGACTGCTTTGGTGGCTCTTCATCTATTTATTGTTATTTATTTATTTTTAAAATTTCTATACCACTTTATATTTTTAATAACAACCTCAAAGCGGTTTACAGCATATTAAATCAATAAAACAATAGCCGGCCGATGTTCCTCCAGCCTCATGAGGAGTCTCTTGAGTAGGGCTGATGAGTCTGGGCCCCGCCCCCTAGGCCAGGTGGAAAGGCCCTTGCAGGGAGCGGCCTTCACAACTCACAGCTGGGCAATGTAATTGTCTATTTACATGCCATGATGAAGACTGGCTGTTGTCTTTCCTTCCTGAAGAAAAAAAGCCCAATTTGAAGTGCTTCATACTACAGTCCTGTAATTTACATATGTACTTTCCTAGAAGCTCCAGAATGTTTGCCTGATACTGTAGATTCATCATTTGGACATTTAAAATTTCCTCAATCTCACAATGCTCTTCCACAATACATATTACACCTCTAGGTGTTGTTGAATGCCAACAATAGCCCCATCACAGCATGGTCTGTGGGAAGGGATGGTGGAAACTGTAGTTCAACAACATCTGGAGGTTACAGGTTTCCCATCCCTCTCTTAAAAACTAAGCCATTTGATGTATTATAAGATTTTATATGAAACAGCCTGCTTCACCTGATGTCTAAATGCCTTTATTTAATGGACTATGCATATGTTTCCAGATCTCTAGGACAGGCTTCCTCAAACTCAGCCCTTCAGATGTTTTGATACTACAATTCAGATCATCCCTGACCACTGGTTCTGCTAGCTAGGAAACATGGGATTTGTAGGCCAAAAACATCTGGAGGGCCGAGGTTGAGGAAGCCTGCTCTAGGGAATACTAGTTGCTTGATACAGTTTTTTTGCTCTGTTTTGGGCAGGAATTATTAGTCGCCAGGAGGCCGAAGAGCTGCTGATGAACAAGTCTGAGGGAGCATTCCTAGTGCGGGTCAGTGAGAAAATCTGGGGATATGCCCTGTCCTATCGCCATCAGAGTGGATTCAAACATTTCCTGGTGGATGCTTCCGGAGACTTCTACAGCTTCTTAGGGGTGGATCCCAACCGACATGCCACACTCACAGACCTTATCGATTTCCACAAGGTATTACTTGCTATGTGCACAGAATATGAAAAACTGAACTTGATTGATGAATATTTCAAAAGGAAGCAGCAGTGTGAGCCTGGGTCTTATACAAAATTAGTCTTTACAGACAGGGCTGGCTCCAGGTTTGGGGAGTGAAGGCTAGCTCTAGGCAGGGTGACTGTGGTGGAGCATTATCCGAAGCACCAGATGGCTGAGTCTAGCTACCATTTTCATTTCCCATAATGCCTCAATGGTGCTGTGGCAAGGGCATTGTGGGAAATCAGTTTAGCAGTTGGATTCAACTGTCCTGAGCTGGTCCAAGTGCTGAACCTCCCCCTCCCTGAACACACACACACACACACACACGGCTGCAGGTCCTACATATTAGGGAGAAATGCATATAAATGCCTATGAAAGGGAAAATAAAATGCAAAAACAACCATTCTATTAGGGGAAATTGTTTGTAAAAATGTGTATATTTTGGGTAAGTGTGCACTAAACTGTTGACAAATGCAGTGCAGCCCAACCCATGCAGCTCCTGTCACTTGGGAGCATGTGAAATTGGGAAACAAGCTTAATTCTCTCACAGTCTCCATATATCCAGTTACAGATAGGTAGCCGTGTTGGTCTGCCGTAGTCAAAACAAAAAAAATTCCTTCCAGTAGCACCTTAAAGACCAACTAAGTTAGTTCTTGGTATGAGCTTTCGTGTGCATGCACACTTCTTCAGATACACTGAAACAGAAGTTGCCAAATCCTTCTATATAGTGAGAAGGTGGGGAGGGGTATTACTCAGAAGGGTGGTGGGAATGGGTGATTGGCAGATAGCTGTGATGAGCCTGTTGACGACTCTTAACGACTGCAATAGGTCTTACAGGAAAAAGCAAGGGGCGAGAAGGTGAAAAATGGCTTTGTCATGTATAATGAGATAAGAATCCAATGTCTTTGTTCAGACCAGGTCTCTCCATGGTTTTAAGTTTGGTAATGAGTTGCAATTCAGCAGCTTCTCTTTCCAGTCTATTTCTGAAATTCCTTTGGTAGTAAAACAGCTACTTTGAGATCTTGTATAGCATGTCCTTGGTTATTGAAGTGTTCTCCTACTGGTTTCTCTGTCTTGTGATTCTTGATGTCAGATTTATGTCCGTTTATTCTTTGGCGTAAGGTTTGGCCTGTTTGTCCAATATAGAGAGCTGAAGGACACTGTTGGCATTTGATGGCATACACAATGTTAGACGATGAGCAATTAAATAGGCTGAGGTGGTATGTGTGATGTTGTTGGGGCCAGTAATGGTGTTGTCCGGGTGTATGTGGCAGCAAAGTTGGCATCTGGATTTATTGCAGGCTCTGGTGCCAGTGTCCGTGTTAAGTCTGGTTGTAGTATTATTGTGGGTTAGGAGTTGTTTAAGATTGGGTGGCTGTCTGTAGGCAATGAAAGGTCTTCCTCCCAGAGCTTGAGAAAGAGAACTGTCATTGTCCAGGAGAGGTTGTAGATCTCTGATGATGCGTTGTACTGTTTTAACTTGGGAGCTGTATGTGATGACTAGAGGTGTTCTGTTATTTTCTTTTTTGGGTCTGTCTTGCAGCAAGTTCTCTCTGGGTATCAGTCTGGCTCTGTTGATCTGTTGTCTAACTTCATCTGCTGGGTATTTTAGTTCTAAAAAGGTTTGCTGTAGATCTCTTAGGTGAGAGTCTCTGTCTGTAGAATTGGAACAGATACGGCTGTAACGTAGTGCCTGGGTATATACAATGGACTGTTTGGTATGTTTGGGATGGTAGCTAGAGGCATGTAGATATGTTTGTCGGTCAGTTGGTTTACGGTATAAGGTGGTGTCTATGCGCCCATCCTGTATTTTTATAGTAGTGTCCAAAAAATGTATTTCTTGCATAGATTGATTCATTGTTAGGTTGATTGTGGGGTGAAAATCATTGAATTTCTGGTGGAAGGTGTCCAGGGTCTGTTGACCATGTGTCCAGATGATAAAAATATCGTCAATGTATCGCAATGCCTCCATATACACACTAAATCAGACTATTGGCTCATTCTCAGCTGCTCCCCAATTCCTCTCATCAAGGTTTTGCACAGCCCTGCTACCTGCGCGCCTTTTTAACTGGAGCTGTCGGGGCCTGAGTCAGAGGCTTTGTGAATGCAAAGCACATCGTCAGGCAGTGTAGATAGAGCTATTTTTCATTCTGATGTAATGCTTCTGGGAGAAAGAAGATGGGGAACTGGTAGTATACATGATATAGCAAGGGACCTGTGTATTTTGTGCAAAAATGGGGAGGGGAAGAGCCCATCCTTATTAAAGTTCTGTGCCAAGGCAATCCGAGTCCCACATCAGGAAAAGCTCAGTTCATCAAAATAGATGATGCAAGTTTATTGATTTTGTGTGATTTATTTATTTCCCCATAATTTATTATATGGTATTCTTTCCCTCTTCATCAGCAAGCAGGGGCAAGGGTTATGAGTGCCCTTACCCTGTACCCAAAGGTTGGTAGTCTCAATTAGACACCCTCCTTTGATTTCTGAGAACCCAACGAGATAGGTGTTTGTTTGTTTGCTTTTAAAAAGACTAAACAACCAGTCAAGAGTTGGGGGGGGCATTCAGAACCAGTCTTCCCTATGTGCCAGCTATTTGAAATGGGAGGAAAGCTGACACAGGCGCCATTGGAAACTTTGCTTCCATTGCAAATAGCAGGCTTCTGGTTTGTGATTCCAGTCTGTACCACGGCAGATGTAAACGGTTAAAGCTCTCTCTCTCTCTCTCTCTCTCTCTCTCTCTCTCTCTCTTTTTAAAAAAATGATATTTATTGCTTTACCAACATTTTCAACACAACACTACAAACAAAAAAAGAAAAGAAAAAGAACAATACAAATACAATACAAAAACACTACATCCCACCAACACATTAAACTAACAAAACAAAACAAAAACAAACAAAAACAATTTAAAAACACCTCAAACATTTTCAATATCTTATCTTTCATTCACTTATTTCCAACGACCTCCTCACACCTCTCTTTTTGTATTCCACTTCTATTAATTGTTTCAGCAATTCCTTTCCATCTTCCTCTGTTTTCTATCCTATAATTATCTTAACACATTCTTACCTTATTTTTTTCTTTTAATTTTCTATTAATCTATTTATACTTAATTCCTTATAACATTTCTACTAAAGCCATATAACTTCATTCCAACATTCTTCTAACATTCATTAATTTTACAATATTTCTATAAATAGTCTTTAAACTTTTTCCAGTCTTCTTCCACCGACTCTTCTCCCTGGTCTCGGATCTTGCCAGTCATTTCCGCCAATTCCATATAGTCCATCAACTTCGTCTGCCATTATCCAACACTTCAGTGCTTTCAAGAAGCAGCCATTCTCTCAGCCAGCAAAAAGCAGATGGTTCACAACAAAGTTTAGGGGTCTGGCAGGGCAAGTCCACCTCCTTCTTTGGCATCCGTCAATATCTTAAATTTTACTCGAGGCTTCCTGCCCTGCCAAACAAATCTAGAAACATCCCTCTGCCACCTCTCTTTCCCCTATACAGTGTTACCTCCGGTTACAGACGCTTCAGGTTACAGACTCAAATGCTATGTCCCCCTTGTAAAGGAAAAGTTGTGAATTCCTTATATTCCTCTGTCCTCCTGTTGGCAGGCTTGGGAGTTCTGACATCACAATGGCAACCTGGGCGATACTGCATACAGTGGTACCTTGGGTTACAGATGCTTCAGGTTACAGATGCTTCAGGTTACAGATGCTTCAGGTTACAGACTGTGCTAACCCAGAAACAGTACCTCAGATTAAGAACTTTGCTTCAGGATGAGAACAGAAATTGTGCCACCACAGCACAGCAGCAGGAGGCTCCATTAGCTAAAGTGGTACCTCAGGTTAAGAACAGTTTCAGGTTAAGAACGGACCTCCTGAATGAATTAAGTTCTTAACCAGAGGTATCACTGTACCTGTTTTTGCAGTGGAAGGGATTGGTCACCTGCACTAGCAATTGGTTTTGTTATTTGTTTGATTTTGTTTTTTTAAAAAACTTGCAATGCATATGTAATGACATCACTGTCAGCTTGGCCCTAAAATTTCAGCTGGTGTTGCCCACATACTTTCAAGCTTATGTTTGCAGCCACAAAAGCTAGAACAAAGATGGGAAGGCTGGGGCCCTTCTGCTATTGTCAGTTCCATTCAGCCTGGGCATTGCTCGGGGATGATGGGAGTTGTAGTCCAACAACATCTGAAGGGTCATGGGTCTAGAATCTTGCACTAAGAAGACCATAAAATAAAATTAAATAAATAATAAATAAAATAAAATAGACAGCTGAGATAGTCAGAAGCTGAATTGTGGACTCAGTCTCACTTTCTGCAAGCTTCTAGATAGGGATGCACAAATCTACCCATTTTGCTTTATCTTAGTTTCTCATTTTTCCAATCTGAATTTTAAGTTCTCCACATTTCTGTTGGTTTGCAATTTTTTTAAAGTTCTCATGAAAATTGACCAGTGTGGATTTCTCCAAATGTACACATCTTTGTATGCAATCTTGCCTAATTCATATTTTTGCAAAGCAGTTTACCTTAAATTAATGCATTTTGGGGCGCCATTTTCACTAATATATGCATTTCTATGCACAATTTACCGTAGTATACATTTTTTTTCCTCCATCTTGCCTGGCGAACTGAATTGCAAAATTCAGAGAAGTGTGATTTCAAAAGAGAACAGTCGTTCAGTTTGAGTATTGCTTCGAAAAGTGCATATTTAGGTGAGCTAACCTTAAAATGGGAACTGAATTGCCTTTCTCTCCCACTGCTCCTTGCAGAATCACAGCATGCACACAACCCTGGGCATAGTTACAGAACCAGTGACAAAAAGTCCTACAAACTTCAGATACAGGGACTGCAGCAACTTCAGTATCCACCTTCTTTCCCTAGAGTCAAGCTTGCATGGAAACTTTTGTATTTCTCTTCCTCCCAGCTTGCTCATCATAGGCAATAAGAGCACAAGAAAAGCCCATCCATCTAGGGAGGAAGCACAGGGACACCTGTCAAAAGCAAAACGTCCATTAGCCTCTGACATTCAAAATAAAATAGATTGGGATGTCCCCCGATGAGAAAAATCAATGGCTGCAGCTATGACAAGCTTGTTAGAGGACTTGCTTGGCCCCTGAAGTGAGCAGGCAAGTCTCGCTTAATTGTCTGTGGTCAAATGGGAAAGAGATTTAACAGCGCCGTCTTGGGATGTTGCCCCGTCCTTATCTCCCCAGCCACTAACTCCGGTGCCTTTTTCATCTGAGTGCACTCTTAACAATAAATACAGGCAAAAAAGTCAGAGCCAGCTGTGGTAATGGCAGAAAAATGCAATGGTATACAGGCACCAGCCAGTCTACCTGCTATTATTAAATCTCATCTATATATATATATATATATAGAGAGAGAGAGAGAGAGAGAGAGAGTTTATAAAGACCCAAAAGTCAAGTTCATGTACATTTAAACACAATGCAGAAAATGCTACTGGTAGCCCTCCTGAACCAATGATGTGCAGGTTTGTAGATACAGTGGTACCTCGGGTTACAGACACTTCAGGTTACAGACTCCACTAACCCAGAAATAGTACCTCAGGTTAAGAACTTTGCTTCGGGATGAGAACAGAAATCAGGCGGCGGTGGTGCAGTGACAGTGGGAGGTTAAGAACGGACCTCCAGAACGAATTAAGTTCTTAACCCGAGGTACCACTGTACATTGGTTTTGTATGTGGATATCCTTCAGATGTGTTCTAAAAGCACTTTGCAGAAGTAGGGTTGTGGTTAGGGTCATCGCTGGCTGCATACACACACAAAGTACATTCGCCCACCACCTAGAATCCAGGGAACTATGGTTTGTTAGCAGTGCTGGGAACTGTAGCACTATGAGAGGTATACTACATTTCCCGGGGTTCTTTGGAGGAAAGATGTTCTTGAAATGTATCGTGTGTATGCAGCCATTTCCAGAACCAAGAGACTCTAGTCCTTTGCCTGCCTCAGATCTACAATCCAGAGTTCTGTGGGGAGAGGGCATGGCTCTTAAACCAGTTTGTCAGTGGCGCAAATGCATGCCCTCAGTCCCTTATGTCAGTTTTAGATATGTAAAGAGCAAAAGATTGTGTTTCTGGCAACCCACCACCATGACAACACTGGGGTAGGGGAAGGAATGCTGCCCTTTAGTCTCCCTCAGCAGCTGGAAGAGCACTTTATTTCCTGATTTCAATGCTGAGTGCCACAGCATTAACGACAGGAGATTAATCTGTGGGGACTAGCAAGCCACTTTCTGTGGCTTGTCTAGCCAGAGGTGGTCTGTGGACTAGCCAGGCATGCCACAGAGACATATCTTCACCATGGAGCTAAGCAAGGGATCCATATTACACCAGGCAGCTGTGATTATTGTGCCAGGGTCAAGAGTGGCTCTTCCAGGCCATACAATTGCATTTGCAGTGTATTCATGTAACTTGACTCCAGTTATCCAGAAACTGCACTAGAGAAGAAGGAACTCTTTTACAAGACCCTCGGCATCCTGACATAGGATTGCCTCTTTCTCCATGAAAGTCAGTTTTGCTACTGATTTCAATAGGCTGCACCCTTTTGTCTTTGGTTTTTCCAGGGCCAGATTTAGGTTTGATGAGGCCCTAAGCTATTGAAGGTAATGGGGCCCTTTTTATGTCCAGTTGTCCTTTGTCAACAACAAATTGTCAATTTTTTGTTGTTGAACATATGCTATAAGGTAATTTGTGGACCTAATAGGTATCGAAAGCCATTTGCACATTACAAAATATGTATTTTATCAAAGTACATCCAGTTTTTTCCCTTTATTTTCGAGGGCCTCCAAGAGAGTGGGGCCCTAAGCTATAGCTTGTTTAGCTTATACGTAAATCTGGCCCTGGGCTTTTCTAATCTCTGGCGTTGGTTGTGTGTGCATGCACAATATATATTTGAACAAAACAAACTATACCCCCCTCCTGTGGACACACACAGACACACAGAGACAAAACCTTTTCAGTTCCCTTGAAGCATCTTAATGTACCAGACATGGCAAAAAGTGAATCTTCAATGAGTAATGGCCTGTAAGCTAGGGCTGTCGAAAATAAATTCATTTTAGAAATGTTTCGGATGATTGCTGTTTATGTATAAGCATCAGATGATCTAGATACAAGTGATTCAATTGCAAACAGGCAGCAGGCAAGAGAACATGCATTTAAAAGGAGGTGGGGCTGGCAGAGGGTGGGGAGGAAGAAACTCATATCCAAGGCAAAGATGAATAGGAATGGGTGAATAATGCATCCTTCGACTTCTGCATGATTAGACAGTGCCACATCCTAGATGGAGAAAGATAATAGCTGCTATTTCCAGACTGAAAACAAACAATGGTAAGTATGTACATGAGCACCAGCGAGTCTCTTCTCATTGAGCTGAGCTGAGCTGGAATGATTAATCATCCTAGCCGTGGTCCCACCTGCATCCCATGTTTATTTGTTTAGCATGGAGGTAATGAGGTTTTCACGTGAACCTTAGGAGCTGTGCTACATGATTAGCAGGCCGTTAATGACACAGCCCTTGCTTAACTGCAGCACCTCAAACTGCAGGTGAGGGATTAAATGCTCGAATGGTCCCTCATCTCAAAAATGACAACAACATAAAACTTGCCAGTTAAGCTTTCTCCCCAACATGCTAGCTCTGCGTGTGTAGAGAGAGCTTTTTTATCATCTATTTTAATATCGGGATGCATTTGAACACCCAGTTGCTATGTCAGAAATAGTGCGCTGCAGTTATAGATACATTATATCAGTCTGTTGATCATGTGGCTGTGAGTCTGTGCGTTCCCTTTTTCCTCTTTAGAAAAAAATCCCTTGCTGAGCTGTTAGAAGGCAGAACAGGATGATTAATCATGAAGATCTCCCTCTTCCCCCCACCCCAGATATTAAACACTATGCTAATATGTCTCCTGTCAACTGGTTTAATATGAACCATCAAAAGAATTAAAACATCTTACAGCATGAACCTAGATGTGCTTATGGGACTTCATAAGTGCAGTATATAGTAAGCCATATAGTCATTTCAACATGATTATTTTTCACACTGATGATGCAATTTATTTTCTCTTTCTAGGAAGAAATAATCACATCCTCTGGCGGAGAGTTGCTACTGGAGCCTTGCAGACAAACAAAGAACCCACCTGATTATAGCCCTTTATTTGAATGACTGTGGAGACTATAGTAAATATTTCTGGAGAACAGAAATAATTAGTGAAATGACTCCACCTTGAGATATAAGATCACAGCTTATCACCAGCTAATGAATGGCAAATGTTAAGCAAGAAAAAGTCTTATGTAGGCAATCCAATTTTTAATTCGCAACCATTATTTATCTTATTAGCCATTTAAAACTGGAAGCACAAGAAAACAATTCCTCTACAATTGTCCTTCAGAATAGGGTTAAACCACCAGTGATGATCAAAAATCACCCCCCACAAAAATTTCCCTAATAGCTGTAGCAAAAGAGATGGTTGGTAATGGAACTTATTTAGCATATAGTGAGTTGTGAAATTCTCAAAATGGTAGCATTCAGGAGCTAAATGTATGTGACTGAAAAAGATGCAGATTAATGGTATGGCTATGTAGAGATAGGTCTTTTCTAGTCTTCAAACTATGCATGATGTTAGCAGCCCCATTTGCTTAAACCTCATCTTCCCCAGGTATGCATAAAGTGGGGGTCTGATTTTTATTTTTACCTCAGTAAGGAGAGCAAAACCATCCTTGCACCCACCACTTTTCTTTCCATAACCTTTCTTCCAGCCAAGCTCAATTCTGGCATCACAGCTTGGTTGAAGAGAAAAGTATTGGGGGTGGAGTCAAAGGTAAGCTATGGGGACGGGGTTAAGTACCCCCAATCATTGGGGCAGCTCCTGGCTGAAACCAACATGGCAGCAGCTGTTACATGTGCCTTGAGCCTATACAGAGTGGAAAGGGAGACCAACATTAATACATTTCACAGTCCTTTAGCAGGGGTGTTACAGCTATTAGAGCCTCCTCCCCTTTCCTAGAACGGCTTCCTCACACTGCTTGCCTACCATCCCATTATAAAGAGGGATTTCCCTTTCAACAGGCCTTGACTTGTATGCAGGATTGAATTGTCAAGTGTAAAAGTGTACATATTGCCACCTGGCAAATATTGGAGGATAAAACATACCGACGTCTAAGTTGCACTCATTACCAACTTTTTATAAGGAGCAATAAACACTTGTGAAACATCGGCATCTTATGGATATTTTTGCTTTTGTTTTTATTTAGCTAGGAAAATCTCTTCCTTCCGTCCCTCTGTTTTCAATTACAAGCCTATATAGGCAACTATACTCATGCATTTTTATACTTTGTACCAAGCCTCAGTTATGATGACAAATAACATTATGACTGTGTGATACTTTGGTGAGTTTTTCATTGGAATATGAAAGGATCTGATTTATTTCCATCTTCTCCCCTCCTCAGATTTACCCTATAAAAATTGTTAGAACAATCTGACTATTAAAAACTGAGAAAATAATAAAACTAAAACACTGGCAGCAGAAACACAGAGAAAGGACTGACACTGCAGCCTAAAAGATAGCAGAAAAAAGGGCTTTAGCTTGTTTTCTAAAAAGTCATCAGCAGGAACTAACATTTTGGACTTCCAAGGGAAGGCGTTTGACAAGGGAGGGGTCACCACAAAGAAGACCCTTCTTCTGCCACACAGCCTAAATCTGGACAAGAAATGCACCGTCAGCAAAAACCCATTTGAGAATCTCAAAATCTGTAAACTCATGGTGGAAAAAGCAGTCTCTATATTTTTCCAGTTTTAGGCCATTTAGGGCAGGAATAGGAAATATGTGACCCTTCAGATGCTGCTCGATTGCAAATTCCACCATCCCTGACCAGTGGCCATGTCTAGCATCAAGAAAGCTACTCTTGATTACTACAACTGATTAGGCCTTAAATGTCAACACAAATACTTTCTATTTAGCCTACATCAGGGCCAAGGAACCCGTGGTCCTCCATATGTTGGACCATAATTCCCATCATCCTTGGCCTTTTTCTGTTTGAATTGGGAGATACTATTTATATCCCACTTTAGGGTTTAAATAAAGGCCATCTAGGTGACCTGCATTAAACATTAAAGATAAAAATAACATTAGGAACAACAAGCAAGCACCTCTTATATCAAAGCATTCAAAAAGAAGAAATAACAGTACCATGTTGACAAAAACTGTAAAAGCATAATGAAAAGTGGACAAATCAAACTTCTGCTACTCCCAAGATCCCCCCCCCAAAAATAAAAAGACTTTGACCACCTTAAGCCACAGCTGAAGAAACCTCCTTGAGCACGAGTCTCCTTTCTGAAGGCGGAGATGTTCAGAGCACTCCCTCATAAGATGGCGTGAGTACATGGGAAGGGAAGTATTGAAGGGGGAAAGGCAGGAACATGAATGGGAACCAAGTTGTTGCACATGAATTCCTCTCAGCCCCAGCCAGCATGGCCAATGATGAGAGATAATGGGAGTTGTAGTCCAGCAACACCAGGAGAATCAAAGGTTGCCCACCTGATTTAGAAATTTGATGGTCAACACCACAGCAGTTGGCATTGGGCTAAGAAACCAACTGGATGGCAGAGGATCTTCAGACTTGATGCTCCAGGCTTCCTGCAGCCAATCCTGGTTAATAATTAGGCATCTTCCACATTTTGGATGCTCTTCAGAGAAGGCTTCATGTAGCATACTTCCAGCAGGAAGAAACCAAAGGATGCATGACACTGACCGGATCGTTCTCCTTCAGGAGAGGGCACTGATGATCACTCAACTGAAAGCAGTGAAAGGCACCTCTACCAACAGATGCTTGTTGACGTGCCATGATCAGAGCAGAGGTCAAGAGTAACCCCCAAACAGAAAACAGCTTGCAGAAAGTTTGGTCTCCATCCCATCTTCCTTGCCATTTCCTAATGAACAGTCCTGAACAGGAGGGCAAAGATACAAATCCATTTTCATTTCCCCCCAGTCTGCATTTCATGCATGCCTCATATTTTAGGTTTTACCTGGCTTTAAAATAAATTCCTTGTAAGTTCTCTGGCAAATGAAATTACCGGCTGGAAAACTGCAATTTCATCTTGAGAGTTTTATTATGCTAATAAATGTCAGGATTCTCAAATAAAGGAATTGCTTTTTTTTCCAGAGACCCAAAGAATTAATGAAAAACAGTCAGCCAACTCATAGAGTACCAGAAAGGAAAACCTCGACAATATATAACCAGAAACAGCAGCCATATAATAAAGTGGAACTTAACCGAAGATAAATTTCAAAGGAAACAAAGAGAGATCATAGCAGGGAAGAATTTAAACAGCAGAAACCTTACTTGGAAAAGATGTAGAGGCACTGCTAATACTCTGGGGGTGGCTTGGGGAGCAAATTAGAAGGGGGTGCATTTTACTAAGATTATATGTGTGTATTGTTGAATCTGAGAAAACAAACAAGCCCTTAAAAGCTAAACAGTGTGTAGGAGGTAAACAGGGAGGAAAATGATTTTGTAAAGTTTTACCTGAGTTTACCAGAGACTTTGTGATATGTCTCTTTGTGATATATATACACACACACAGAGAGAGAAATGCACACAGTGCTTTTTGTGATGGTACTCACCTGTGCGGAATACCTTTCTTTCTTCTTTCTTTCTTTCTTTCTTTCTTTCTTTCTTTCTTTCTTTCTTTCTTTCTTTGCCATTGGCAGCCATTTTGTACTGGCGCCCACAGCACTTTTGTCAATAATTAGTCTGCTTGAGAACCTTACAGTTTACAGCTTCTGGAGGAGGACATAGCTGAAAGCAGTCCTGAACAGGAGGGCAAAGATACAAAGCAACATTTTGTCGCCATTCCCAGTTGTATAATCTACTAGCAACCTTTATTCCCAACCAGGAAGAAAGCCACTTCCCCACCCCTCTTTATCATATTGGTGAGTATAACTGCTAGTTCTACTTTCTGTCTGGGGTGGAAGGCTTTTGAAGATTACATGGGGAAGTTACCCAGTTGCCCTAGTGTGGTTGTACTCCATGGATTTGCTTTGTGCTGTTCGCCACAAATTTCAATAGAACCTCAACGGGTCACAGATGTCATAAGTTTGGTTTTTCAAACACGGAAGTTAGAGTTCATCACCAGGGCCGTGAAAGAATCAGCTGCCATTCAGGAGGGATCCTTGCATAAATTCCATGCCCTTGCATTGAATTATGTGCCTACCTGTTCATTGATGTTTCATTTCCTTCATTGTCTGGGTTTAAGATATTATGGCAATGGCCAATGCATCCATGTTCATAATTTACTACCCCAGCTATAGTTAGCATTGCATTCAAGGGGCTTTGGATTTCCATTAGGCGCCTCCCTGCCAAAAGAGCTTGTCACTGAGATCTCTGGGAATTTATTACTAGACACTTTATGTAGTTTTATTTTTACAGGAAAACAGACCCCAGTCATAAAGGGAAATTTGTTAATTCTTATAGGCATGGACCATACACCTCCAATTTTATGTGTGTAATAGGAAGCTCGCAAATATAAAAATCAGGGTTGCACCACTGACATGAACACTATTGTGATGTGTTTTCAATATTTTGTTGGGAGCCACCCAGAGTGGATGGAGGCAACCCATTCAGATGGGCAGCATATAAAAAGAAGAAGAAGAGAAAGAGGAGGAGGAGGAGAAAGTTGTTGTTGTTGTTTACTAGGGTTACAGCAGATGATGGTTAGCAGCTCATCCATGTTTATGGCATCTTTTGTATCTGTGGGGCAATACCTACTTGGGCAAGGGAGTGAGGAGAAGCTCTGCACTTATGTAAATCTTTTTTTGGGGGTGTGTGGATGATTAATAGCTATTCAGCTTCATCAACTAAGCAGCCTATATAAAAGTCAGTTCTGGCATCTTATTTCCTCTACCTCACACAGGCCAAATTTGACAGATGGGTGGGGCTGCTCATCCTTAACAGTACATGTAAGCTGGGATGACACTTTAAAGTCCTGCCAACCAGCTGATCACCAGAACTTCAGAAGCATCGTACACGGGGCTCTTGAAGATTGGCAGCACTCCAAAAGCTACTTTTGGCCCGGCCCAACTGCCTTTTTATCTGCCCACAAATTGACAGGTAGGCATGGCTGGGACAAAATGGCATAGTGGTCCAAATGGGGAGGCCTGGCAATGAGGTCTACAGGCCAGAGGTTCCTTACTCTGATCTAGTACAACCCAGAATCAGAACTGAGTGCAGAGCTATTTAGAAAGGCAGACCCTCCAAGTGTCCTTATCTTCCAAGGACAGTCCTGGATTTACAGAAGTCATCCCAGTTTCTGATTTGATTCCGGAATGTCCCGTTTTTCCTTAGGACATCCTTATTTTCATCAGAGAGATTTTTGGAGGGTATGGAAAGGAGCCAGCTCAATTCTCAGTGTCTTTCACTGAGTTCCACAGACTGGCTTCTACTGACAGAGACTCATGTGGGGGGGGGGTCATTGGAAAAGTCTTAGATAATCAGCCTTTGATCCACCCCATTTTAAATGAATTAATGAAAAATTGATTGATTGATTGATTGATTGATTGATTGACTGATATATTGAATGAATAAGAAAACAACACACTAGAGCAGGGGTAGCCAATGTGGTGCTCTCCAAATATTATGGACTACAACTCTCATAATCCCTCACTTTCGGCTATGCTGAATGGGGCAGATGGGAGTTGAAGTCCAACATATGAAGCACTCCACAGCGGCGACCTCTGTGTTAGGGCTTGGGTGATGGCAGCCTGGTTGACAGGAAAATAACAGCCTCCGTGTGGACAAACACCACATGGACAAAGTCCACGTCCCAGATTAGAACTGGGAAATGGAGACAATAGAACTGGGAAACAGAGACAATAGATCCACAACAGCAAAGCCATGGAGCCAAAGAAAAAAGATAAAAGGATGCATTCACAATTGATGTAAATTCGCTTACACTTCCTTAACTTATAGCTGAAATTACCTCAGCTTGAATCAAGTGAGTGTCTATAGATAATGGTTTCTGTTATGCAAACACAGGCCTTTATAGAGTAATACATTCTAATGGAATCCCCATATATCATTGTGGCTTTAAGTCTCACCTAATAAATCCTTCTCTCCTAAGATTTTATATTCTGTTGCATCACAGCTTTGTGTTAAGGTGAAAAGTGCCTCTCTTTAATTTTCAAAGAATGATCTCTTCCTTCCTCTTTTTTTTTTTT